TGGATTTCCTTGCTTTTTTTTTAACTTCATGACTATGCATACAGTGCCACAGCTCATGAAATAAAACATGCTTGCCAGTAATTTTAAAACTATGAGAAATTCTCATTATAGTTTTAGTTTTTTCTTAAAATGCTGTTAACCATTCATAAGCTTGTTCTTTTGATCAAATATTTGTAAAACAATGAATATAGAATTGCCAAATTTGGATACCTTCATTTGTTTCGATATTGGTATTTCAGAAAATTCTTGAATTAAATAATTATAATTTGAAGGTAAAAAATTTTCTAAATCTTTTGAAAGCTTATTGTTATTTTGTTGAGTTGTTTTAATAATTTGCGCAACTTCTAAATTTAGCAATATATTAGTTATTAAATAAAATTTTAAATATAAAAATTAAAATACACTAAAATTTTTCATACACATATTAGATATTTGTGAAGATTGTACTCGTTCGACTTGTTCCATTTTATTTAAATATTATTAATTTGAAATCGAAATCGAAGAAAATTATTTCAATTTGAATTCATAAGAATTTTTTATTATACGTAATAATCAATTTAAAAGTTAAAATTATTTAATTATTTTAACATCATTATATTTTTTAAACCAGATCATATGTGCTCATTGTAGCACGATTAATCGGAGATCGGAGATTAGTTATAACCTGTCCCAGATTTTTTATGTGCTTCGCTAATACAAAACATCTCTAATTTACAGTATATTTAAAAAGTATATAGATAATTATTATTTTTTTATAATGTATGCATGCGTACGTACATATTTACACTATTGAATCAACTTAAATTCCATTTTACATACGACATGTTAATATATGTATATACACACACTAGATAGTTTAAAATATATATTTAGTATTGCCCTGGTGAAATACGATTAATTAAACAGAATGTTAGAAACTGTAAAATGATTTGTATTTCAAAAATAATAATGACAACAGTTGATTTTATTTTTAATTTTTAAAATAAATGCATATTATAAAAGAAAAAACACACCAAATAAAATAAATTAGCCAAGGTCGATACTTTGAATTAGAAACATTTATTAATAAATTATCATTGTAAATTAAATAGTAAAAAAAGTTTATATAAAATAAAAATAAAATCGATAAACATCATTACTGTAGTTAAAAGCAATAAAGCTTTGTCATCATATTGTTAAAATTGTCCAATAAAATTATTGAACAATTAGACATATGTCCAATTGTCCAATTAAATTTATTTGGACATTGTCCAATGCTAACCCTGCTTAGCACTCCCTTGAATGTATGCCAGGTTTATGACGCATTAATCATCCAAGACAATTTGCACAAATTAAAAAAATTTAAATGATTAAATAAATCATTTTAAAAAAATACTATTCATACCTCCTGTTTCTGTTATTCGTACCCTCTTCTACATAAAGAATTAATTATAATCAAAGGATTTTTTTATAGTCATAACGATAATATTATTGATCATATATTGCTTGTGTCACAACTTAATTGTTGGAGAAATGAGTTAATATTATTGATTCATCAATCGTGGTGTAACAGTAATATCAATGATTGCTTGATTTATTTGGATATTAACCATCAATTTAAATCAATTTATGTAACGTGAGTTTGTTTACTTCTTACAAGCCCAAAATGATAGCAAAATTCTTTGAAAATCTTTCATCAAACTATCTTGAACTTCTTGACGATATTGAAGATTTTAACGTGATCATAAAAGTTGGCGAATATTATGATACCAAGATATTTCAAGCACATTCAACTGTTCTTAGATATAGGTCTTTATATTTTCGTAATGCATTAGTAAACGTCAATAAAGATAAAAATAACATTAAAACGATTAGTTTAAAGCATATCTCTATTCAACAATTTGATATCATTATCAGGTGAGTTATCAAATGTTTAGGGTGTTATATTTTTTTAAATATTTAACGTGATAATAACTTTATACTGCATAAAGGTATATCTACGGAGGCATAATTTCATTGGAAGGTCTTGATACATCATTTATTTTTGAGCTTATGCTTGTTGCTTGCGAGTTTCTTCTTGGAGAATTAGTTAAATATCTTGAGGCTTATCTTATTAAAGAAGCGCACTGGCTTCATTTGCATTTCTTTCTGGTCTACCGAAAATGTTTCCTAAGTGACATGCTTCAAGGATTACAAAACTGGTGCAACGATATTGTGGCAAAATATCCAAATAAGGTTTTCGATTCTGAAGAATTTACATCTTTTCAAGAAGATACATTAATCTCATTGATTAAGCGTGATGATTTGCAAATGGAAGAAGTAAAAATTTGGAATTATGTCATCAAATGGGGAATTGCTCAAAATCCTTACCTACTATCTGATCTTAAAGAATGGTCTAATGAAAATTTTATGATCTTAAGAACTACTTTACAAAATTGCTTGCCCCATATTCGTTATTTTCAAATCTCTGGTGATGATGTTTACAATTATGTAAAACCATATAAACAAATACTTGATAAAACCCTTTGGAATGACATAAAAATTCGGCTCATGACTCTCAATCAACCAATATCATCATTAATTCTTCCACCCCGTATTATTTCAACACAGCCACTACAAACTAGATTTGCAAGTTCATTTTCAAAAGTCATTAGTGAGGCACACGCCGCTGAAATTGCTTCATGGGTTGATAATAAAAGTAATATATACTCAATGGCAGATAATCCATATGAATTTAAATTACTTCTCCGTGGAAGCAGAGATGGTTTCACTGTTGAATCGTTTTGGAATCTATGTAATAAGAAAGCAAATATTGTTGTAGTAATAAAAGTTAAAGGCACTGATGAAATTCTTGGTGGATATAATCCTATTGGATGGGAATATTGTGATACTCTTTGTGCGAAGAGCTGCAATGAATGTTTTATTTTTTCGTTAAAAAATGGTTCTATTAAAAGGTCTATTCTAGGTCGTATAAAAGATCCAAAAGATGCAATTGTTAATGGTCGTGATCGTTTAGGATTTACTAATGGTCTTTATATAGGAAGAAATAAATGGTATTGCGCCTATACAGAAAGGGTTATCATGTATGACAAAATTAGAGATGCATCTACATATGATAATGGTGGAATTTCTGACTTTACAATGGATGAATATGAAATATTCCAAATTCATCAAAAAAGCTTCATGAGTGTCTATTGTTAAATAGTTATATCTACAATGAATTTTTGTTATTTACAATTCATTTTCTTTTACTATAGTAAATTTTAATTCAAAGATAGAACTGTAAAAATACATAGTGATTAGCGATAAGTGTTTGTGGATTGCAATCTATAAATTAGCGGTTCAAAATAACGTTAAAGACACATTTGTATTAGAATAATGAACAGGTTTAGGCGTATGATAGTAAATTGAACAAGAACTGTTAAATATAGCATATTGCTACAAATTTTAATAAAAGATATTTTTTCAAAACATCGGCTTTAGTTTTGATAATTGTTATGTTATGAAAATTTGAATAAGCTCAATTCTGGATGCCTTTTTTTTTTTCTTTGTGAAAATAAAAAAAAACAATAAGAAATTTCTATATAATTAAATAAAGATATTAATCATTTGTTCGACCATATTTATTAATTGTATTTATTATAAGAAATATATGGACAGCTTGAGTCGATTAACATTTCTAGATTAGTATTTTAAGGAATTTGTTTTTATTAACATTTCTAGATTAGTATTTTGAGGACTTAGTTTTTTAAATAATAAAATTTAAACTCGAGAAATAAGGTTTCAATTCAATTCTAATCATAAGCCTTAAGAGCTCACCAGATTTCTGTCGTTGTTGAAAACGATAGCCATACTCTTTAAATAAAATATTCCTTTGCATTTTACGTGGTCATTGCAAAAAATTTATTTGCATATTTGTATAAGTTTATTTAATCAAATTTACTCAATTAACATCTAAAAATGAGAATATATTCATAATAATTTCTTTTATATTAATCGGTATACGTTGGTTTCAAATTTATAGATCATACGGATGATTTTGTGTAACCTATTCGGTCATCTCACTCACCTTTTACGATGTCGGATAGCATAGTTAACTTAGTTATCAATCAAATTTTAGTAATTATAACTGATCTTTTCATAGTAAACATCCTAGTGAATAATCAGTTGTCATTCACGACACAACAAATAATTATTACTCAATATAATAGACATAAGGCTGTTTGAAGTTAATTCTACGGTTAACATCACCTTTAGAACTCTTGGGAGAGGGTTGGGAGGGGGTAAAATGAAATGAGCATATAAAAATGGGCCAATTTCATTGGTCGACGTAAATCAAGCAATTGGTGAGTGTTATCCAGCGCTAATTAAGAAATGGGACACTTAAAGATCACTGAACCCGTTGATCGAAGATCACATGATAAACACATCATGACGTCATTTGTTTACCAGAACCAAACAAGCTGGCCTAAACTAACCCCTACCCTAACCCTATCTTACCCTAACCTAGGACGAGTGATTGTCATGTTATACTGTGATGATCACTGGGTTCAGTGTTCTTTAATCTTCCCGATGGTTATGCTGGTTTTGCTGATATTAAGCTTGAAAAATGAGCTTATGGCGAAATGAAAGGCATTGCACCAAATAAACTTGTTTGATATTTTTGAACATTGAATGTTATGTAAATTTTACTGTTCTTGGAATTTTTATAATTTTGTTATTGACATTGTAAGTCATCTTTAGTATCATAATTATACTTTTATTTTTGATATTTTTAGTATTTTCGTATCTTGAATAAATATATATAAACTACAAATCAATATCGCCATTCGAAAGGCACGTTTTAAAATCAATTTATTGGAGTTATTTTGCAATAGATGTCATTTTTTAGGGAAGATTAAAGAACATGAACCCAGTAATCATCACAGTATAACATGACAATCACTCGTCCTAGGTTAGGGTTAGTTTAGAGTTAGGGTAGGGGTTAGTTTAGGCCAGCTTGTTTAGTTCTGGTAAACAAATGACGTCATGATGTGTTTATCATGTGATCTTCAATCAACGGGATCAGTGATCTTTAACAGTCAGAGATATGTCACATATAGTAATATATGAGTTTTTTTTTTTTTTTAAAGTGTTAAGGTGATCTCTATGGCCGGGAACTTTTTATTAGACTTATTAACTTCAGGTTATACAGTTACAATGAGGGTACATCAAGCCACATGTATACTTTTGGTACCTAATTTAAGTAGTCCACCTGGGTTCTACACTAGCCACCATACCTGCAACCTAACTAGGAGATTACTTATTTAAGCTCTCTGATTATTACTAATGAGAGTATGACTAGCCATACATACAACTTTTGATTGCTTATTTAAGTAGTCTGCCCTAGGTTCCACACTAGCTGCTATACCTGTATCCCAACTATGAGGATACTTATTTAAACTCTCTGGTCATAACTGCCATCTATTTCTAAACTAACTAAGGTG